GCCTGGGAGGCCTACCTGGCTCAGTTTGAGCTCCTGGCAGGCGCTCAAGGCTGGGACGACCATGAGAAGGCTTTGCAGCTTGTTTCCGGTCTTCGTGGGCAGCACTGGAAGTGCTGGCTCATTTAACTTCACAGCAGCGAACAGTTTACTCCCATGTGGTGGGAGCGCTCCAACGGAGGTTCGGCCATCACCATCAGGCTGAGGGTGTACCGGGCCCGCCTTAAGGCCAGGGTGCGAGCCAGGGTGATCTCTTCCTCAGTTGGCTCAGGAGTTAGAGACGCTCGTCCGCCACGCCTACCCCGCCGCTGCCGAGGACATGGTGACCGTCCTGACGCGGGATTATTTTGTAGACGCGCTGCAGGATCGGGAGCTGCAGTTATACATCAAGCAGGACACCCGGAGGACGTGCAGGTAGCTCTGGCGAGGGCACTGGAGCTGGAGGCGTTCCTGTGTACTTCAGTATTGGGCGCTGCAGTGGAGGTGCCACGAAAATTTTACCCTAACAGAGAGTTTCGGGCACGGCAACCCAAGTGGGGGAGTCGCCCGTGGAACAGTGTGGTGCTACCCAGCGAGTGAGTCTGACAGGCTTCCAGGGTATCTGCTGGAGGTGCGGCAAGAAGGGGCACCGCGGAGTGACTGCCCGAGGGGACGGGGACGCGTTCCCAGAAAGGAAACCATTTCTGCCTTCCAGCCATTGTGGGAGCTGTGGGCTTACGGCCATTTCTCAGTTGCCTGCACTGCCTCTAAAGACATGCAGGTGGGAAACGAGGAGGGGCTGGATGCGGGGCCAACAGCCAGCCCACGCTCATCGGGTCCCACACAGTGTAATCTGTCGCCGTGCAGCCGCTCCAACGGTCCATATAAGAGGAACCATGGATGGGAAGCCATGTCGAATGATAGTGGATACGGGCGCTGAGAAAACCATCATGCGCCCCGATGTGTTAACTGCGAGAGACTATCATGAGGAACCAAGACAACTTGTGGGGTCACGGGGCACTGTACGCCACTCAGGGACCAGTTGAGGCACGACTCGGTGGGTGGCAGTGAGGAGGTACTGCCTGTGTATGTCGCCGAGATGGAGGACCCTTGTCTCTTGGGAATGACTACCTTATGCAGGTTGGAGCGTGTATCGACCTGAAGAAACGGAAACTAAGGATACGAGAAAAAGAAGTGCCCTTGTCTCTCGGCGTCGCTCCAGCAGAGGTAGTGATGGCTGAGTGTGTGCGTATTGCCTCGGACACAGAGCCTAAAGTGACCTTTGAGTTGTCTGGGAAGTTAGAAAATCATGACCGCATGCGAGTCCATAGAACCATTGGAGCAGGCAGACGACAGCGAGGAGGTAACCTTTCAGAAAAGACTACCTGGAAATGAGGGGGTGGTTAATGATGTGTCCCTTCCTGATCACCTGACTGATCTGGCATGGAGGAGTGCCATACATCTTGACCATCAGCAGCAAGAGAGGTTAAGAAGCACCCTGACGAGGTATGCTGATGAGTTCAGCAAGGGTGACCTCGACCTGGGCCGTACAGGACTTGTTCAGCATCACATTAGGACAGGAGATGCTCTGCCTATTAAACATGCCCCTCGGAGAATTGCACCAGCCCGGCGTGAGGAGATGCAGCGTTCTGTGATGGAGATGGAGGCACAAGGGGTAGTTGAGCGGTCTGACAGTCCATGGTCATCTCCTGTCGTATTAGTGACCAAGAAAGACGGAACCAAGCAGTTCTGTGTGGACTATAGGTCACTTAACAACGTGACAGCAAAGGACTCTTACCCCTTGCCGCGTATGGATGACATGCTGGACGCTATGGCCGGCGCTCATTGGTTCTCCACGCTAGACTTAAAATCTGGCTACCACCAGGTGGAGATGGCAAGGGAGGATAAAGCTAAGACAGCCTTCTCTTTTGGCCAGGGCTGTGGCAGTTCACTGTTATGCCCTTCGGCCTGTGCAACGCCCCTAGTTGCTTCGAACGGCTGATGGAAAGAGTCTTGGAGGGTCTGCAGTGGAGGACGGCCCTTGTCTACCTCGACGACATTATTGTCTTTGGAGGATCATTTGATGAGGAGCTAGAGCGACTGGAGGAGGTGCTTCGCCGGCTGAGGGCTGCCAACTTAAAGCTCAGTCCTAAAAAGTGCCTGTTCTTCCAGTCCGAGGTGCCATTCCTGGGGAACATGTTGGTAGAGACGGGGTAAAGACCGACCCCCAGAAGGTAGCTGCAGTACAGGACTGGCCTGTCCCCACTTGTGTAGCTGACGTGAAGAGTTTCGTGGGCCTCTGTACCTATTATCGACGTTTCGTCAAGCAGTTTGCACAAATTGCCTCCCCTCTCCATCAACTCACCAGAAAAGGGGCACGTTTTGAGTGGAGTGCAACCTGTCAGGTGGCTTTTGATATCCTGAAGCGAGCCTTAGTTGAGGCCCCTGTACTGCCTTACCCTGATCCAGCTAGTCCCTACCTGTTGGATACTGATGCTAGTGCTGAAGGTCTGGGTGCTGTTTTGTCGCAGGTGAAGGATGGGAAAGAATGTGTGGTGGCATATTACAGTGCCAAGTTCACAGATCCTGAGAAAAACTATTGTGTGACCCGAAAAGAACTGTTGGCAATAGTGAAAAGCACCAAGCATTTCCATCCTTACCTGTATGGTGCTAAATTCCTTATCCGCACGGACCATGCTGCCCTGCAATGGTTAAAGACTCTCAAGGCACCTGAAGGACAGCTGGCGCGGTGGTTGGGTCGCCTAGAGCAGTACCACTATGAGGTTCAGCATCGGCCGGTCGCGTCCACAATAATGCTGACAGCCTGAGCCGCCGCCCTTGTGAACCAGAGTGTCAACACTGCTTGAGGAGGGAAGAGCGGGTCGCATGCCGGCAGCTCCAGTCTGGGGAGACTCTGTAGACGCCGAGGAAAGATGGCGTCAGGTACAGAGGGAGGATGATGACCTAACTCCCCTGATCAAGTGGATGGAGGCATCCCCAGAGCGTCCCAGTTGGCCACAAGTAACAGCAGAGAGCCCTGTCACCAAGCACTTGTGGCAGCAGTGGGCCATGTTGCGACTGGAGAATGGAGTATTACAGCGGCGCTGGGATGATGCTCGTGGACGGCCAAGTTACTGGGTGGTGCTGGTGCCTCGTACCCTGAGGAGAGACCTGTTGCATGAGTTGCATCACCAGCGGCCACCTGGGTGTGAAAAGAACTCTGACAAATTAAGGCAATGCTTCTATTTGGTAGGAATGAGGCGAGACATTCAGGAGTGGTGTCGCACCTGTGAAGTGTGTTGTGCCAGAAATGGGCCTGTGAAGAAGAACCGTGCACCCTCCAGCTGTACCAGGTGGGCACCCTGGAGAGGGTGGCTGTGGACATTGTCGGGCCGTTCCCTGTCACTATACAGGGAAACAGATTTATTTGTGTGGTAATGGACTACTTTACTAAGTGGCCTGAAGCATATGCACTCCCTGATCACGAGGCAGAGACAGTGGCAGAAGGTTTGGTGAATAACTTCATTACACGCTTCGGAGTGCCTTGCGAACTACACTCTGACCAGGGGCGGGAGTTTGAGTCCGTGGTATTCCAAGTGCTGTGACTGCTGGGGATCAAGAAGACCCACACCACCACCTCGAGGCCTCAGTCTGACGGCTTGGTGGAGCGATTCAACAGGACGTTGATCTGCAGCAGCGACCAGCGGGACTGGACGTGAAGTTACCATCACTGTTGATGGCCTATTGCTCAGCCCAGCATGAGGCGACCACCCACACTCCTGCAATGCAGATGTTCGGTAGGGAGCTGCAACTTCCAGTAGATCTAGCAACAGGACGCCCTCCCCAGGAAGTTACCGACCCAATATCCAATTATGCCCAGATGTTGCAAGAAAGGCTGATCACTGCCCACAGATTAGCACGTAACAGCATGAGGACAGCTGGCAACAACATGAAGACACGCTACGACTGGCATTCAAGGGAAGTCAAGTATAACGTTGGTGAACACGTGTGGCTACACAACCTCTTTGCAAGAGGGACTTTCTCCTAAACTCCAGAGTCCCGGTCATGATACTGCAGGTCATGTCTGATGTGACCTTCAAAATCCGTCGTGGGTCTCAGAAACAATCACGCGTGGTTCATGCAGACCATCAGTGGAGATACTGTGGCCCAGGATTATTCTCGTGGGAGGAAGATAAAGCAAGGACCGAGAAGTGGAAGTGAACAAGGAAGAGTAGCAGTGGAACCAGTGGAACCTGTGGTTGTGTTGGAGTGGAAGAGACAATTGGCGGGTCATTGGTGGATGTGGAGGACACTCAAAACGACGGAAGCAGCCACCAGAGTGGATGAATGATTATGTAGTTAATTAAGATGAAATGATGAACAAGTATATTTAAGTTTGTGTAAAGGAAATAATGTATGCTTTATTTTATGTTAAATATGCGGCCGGGTCGGCCTTTTGTAAGGAGGGGGCAATGCTACACCACCCTCTGTTAATGATTTTGAATTTCGCGGGTGTTTTGGTGTGGAGGGTGGAGTCTCGTCCCGCAGAGAGAGATCGCCCGGGACTCTCGCCTGAGGAAGACGTGTTCGCGACCCCTCCTCTCGTTTCCCCGCCTGACTGTTATTATCGCCCTGTGTTTGACGTGCCGTAATTCCTGTGGATTAATAAACCCCTTGGTGAAGTGAACAGTGTTTCTTTCGACCTGACAGCTCCTAAGACAAGGGGACTAGGAGTGCTCGCCTCCACGTGCACACTCAGACGGCTGCTGAGGTTAGCGTGCTATCCCGTGGTCGTTTGAGCTTAACAATATATATACATATATACACACATAAATGTTTATATATATATATATATATATATATATATATATATATATATATATATATATATATATATATATATATATGTGTGTGTGTGTGTGTGTGTGTGTGTGTGTGTGTGTATCGTGGGTGTGTAAAAAAATAAAATGTGAAAATGCATCAAAATAAGATAATTGCCGGAGGAACGGACAACTAAACAACAATAAATGCTAAAACTTTATTGCAGTGATCATAACAAAAGCATTGGTACAAATCACGGGCATATTATTTTGTATATATCAGATCAGGCGAAAGATACAAAGACATTCAAACATGCGCTCTTACATACATACAGAGACGCAAACAAACACACAAACACACCCATTCACACACCGTCACCTATTCGCCGCGACTTGCCTCTGCTCTCAGCCGGGGAGGACATATAGACCTTGGGGAGGAGGCGCGGGGACGCGGCTCGCGGGTGGAAACGAACAGGCGGAAAAATTGCCAGCGAAAACGAAAATTATCGCTTGACGGAATTATCACTTTCAGGCAAAGTGCCACCAGTAGTGAGATAAAAGAAGAAAAAACAAAAACAAAACACGGAAACGTGAAAGAACCACAGAAACTGTGCTAGTGCGACCCCCCTGAACACAGCCTCACTCTACATAAGCGAACAAGTTGGCACACACTCGAGCAAGCAAATAAAATAAGAATTACACATCACAATGGAAGCTAAAACATGGCATCTGGGTTTGTAAAGATCAAAATCTGCGTCTCATATGAATCAGGTAAACAGGTGACCTGGAGGTCATGTTTTCAGTCCTGCGCTTCGGATATCAGGGTCGTCAGACTTGTGTGATGTTATTGGTTTCATGTCTGATACGTGTTTTCACTGAATAGGCAGCGCGCCCGTACTTGGCGTCTTTGGCCTCCGGCACGGCAGTCATGCTGGCCCTCCTACGGCTGCCACACTTCCGTGACCCGTTCCTTCCCATGGCTTCTCCTGAGGTCGAGGGCCGTGCGCTGGGGTCCTGCTTGGTCAGCAAGCTCGTCTGTCTTCTTTGCTCCGCTGGCCGGCTCCTCAATGGGCCAAGGGCTGCGGAACGGGCCACTCGCGGCTGACCTACGAGTGACTCGCAGCGGCCGCGTCTGCCTCCTCACAGGCCGAGTCCTGGTCAGCGGAGTAAAAGTCGGAGGGCAGGGCGAGGCGACGGTCCAAGACCAGGTACGCTAAGATGCAGCCGATGACCAGGATCAGGAGGCAATTGAAAGCGGCAGAAGTATAGAGAAGTATGTCCCTTTCCTCCAAAGTGCTTCCACCTGAGGGGGATTCTGAAACGAGCGTGCATGATTAAAATGGGTTCTTCTGGCTATCTATCTCTGTCTCCTTTCTCTTCTAGGCTGCCCTTTCCCTTTCCCTACGCTCCTTCCGCATGTTACTCACTAGCGCTATTAAATATACCATACAGTATACTCTGGTAACCAGCATGACTACAACATGAACTTGATCTGTATTATTTACAAAAGTCTGTGACATATCCGAGAAGCCTCACCTTCAAAGCATTCGTTGAGCACTAAGTAGTTATCTGGGAGGGTTTCGATCCGAAACCCGGTGACATTGGTGACTTCGACTGAGGTCACGCCGACGTCCCAAGAGATGTTACCCGAAGATCCGGACACCTGCAGCGCGTCGCCTTCGAGGGAGAGGGAGATGTTCGACCAGCGTGCGTCGTGCAGTTGAAGCGGAATTGAAATGCTCAGGAGGGAAGTGTTGTGCAGATCAGATAGGTGCACAAGGAACTTGCTTTCAGGTCTTCGTTTGTCTTTTTTGACGGCGAACTTAGTGATGTCCTTGAGGGGAAACATCTTGCTTGATTGTAAATCTATCTTCAGTCCCAGGTTTACTACGCAGTCTAGAAAGTGCGGACAGTACAGATGTATAAGTAAAAACGGTAAAAAAAAAATAAAAAAATACAGCATGCAGTATTGAATTGAATTTCTGAGTAGAATCCGTAATAAGAGCAGCAGGCACACCCCAGTTCTCCCTGAAGGAAAGTGCACCCCCGGGGAAGCAACATCACCTGATTTCTCCGCCGCTCCCGGCCCGACGCCCGCCTCCTCACTGCACACGAGCGCCACAACAACGCAGGCCAGGGCAAGCACTCGGAACATCTTTGCAGACTGCTTCAGCCTCTTCAGGATGGGTTGACGCCTTGTACAAATGCTCCACTCAACAGCGCCGACAAGTGTGACTCCGACAGACGACGGAGAGGCCGACTCCGGGACGAAACGCTGAGCGGGGATAGAACAACACGGAAGCCAAGGCGATAAGGCAGGCGGAACTATCAGGAGGAGGATGCGTGAGGTTATCAAGGGAGGTGGCGCAGTGGTAGATGGGTAGGTAGATAGACAGTGATAGAGGAGACAGCGAGAGAGAGAGACAGCGATTTAAAGATTTAAAGTTTCAGTTTTAATTCCATTTGTTACAATGGATATTCTTTGCTGTGAAAGTTTTTATTTTGCCCAAAATCTCCCCCTGTGTGCAAGGAATGAGAGAGAGCGAGAGAAAGAGAGACGACGAGAGAAAGAGAGACAACGAGAGAAAGAGAGACAGCGAGAGAAAGAGAGACAGCGAGAGAAAGAGAGACAACAAGAAAGAGAGAGAGAGAGGGGGGGAGGAGAAAAAGAGAGAGAGGAGAGAGAGAGAGAGGAGAGGAGAAGAGAGGAGAGGAGAGGGAGAGAGAGCTAGATCAAGACAAAATGATAAAAGTAATGACGGAGAAATCATGAACATACATTTTACAAAAGGCAGCGGTATGTAAATCACCATTAAATCACTGACCCCATTATCTGCACAGAAGAAACTAACATTTCTCTGCAAATATAAGTAATTCAGTTTCTTCATTCCATTTTCCTTCTATCTTTATCTCATCTTTCACATTTTTTCGTTTTTATCTTCATATTATTTTTACTTCTGCATATTGTTATGATTTCCTATTCTATTTTTTCTGTTATTTCACTTCCTTTCCCAGATGTTTCCTTTGTGTCTGCTACTTTTATTTCTATTCACGTTTTTTTTTCGAATTTCTTCATTGTACTTAGTCTATTGCGAGTCCTCCCCTTATTCCATATTCCTGATATCCTCCTCCTCCTCCTCCTCTTCTTCCTCCCTCATTCCTCTCTTGACGTCTCCTTCCTCTTCCTCCTCTTTTCTTCCCTTCCCAAAGCTTTTTTCTCCTGTCTCTCTCATCCCCGACGTTCCTTCTTCTGTCTCTCCCATCCCCGACGTTCCTTCTCCTTTCCCTCTCGTTCCCGAAGCTCCTTCGCTCGCTTCTTCGCCTCTCCTCCTTCCCTCTTCTCGTTCGTACTGGCTCATCCGCTTCCCTTCCGGCGTCTCGTCGATCATGGACAGAACCCTCCTCTGAATCTCCAGCATCCGGATCTTCATGTCCATGTCTCGCAGCTCTTCTTCCGAGAGGTTGTCCAGGTCGAGCGTGTCCTGCCGGGGGTTTCTCCATTCTATTTCTTCTCCTTCTGCTTCGCCTATGCCTAGTCCGACTTTATCCTCCTCCTCCTGTTGTTCTTCTTCTGTTTCTCCCCCCCGAGTCTTCTTCCTGGGTTCTTGCTTTCATTTGCTCTTCTTCGTCTTCTCCTTCTTCCTCTGTGTCTTCTTTGTCTTCATTTTCCTGGTTTCTCCTTCCTCTGTGTTTTCTTTGCTTATTTCCTGGTTTTCTCCTTCTTCTCTGTGTCCTTCTTTGCCTTCATTTTCTGTTTTTTTCCTTCTGTGTCTTCTCTTTCTTCTTCATTTTCATACTGATTCTCTTTCTCCTCTTGTTCTTCTCCTACTCCTTCATCTGAGTCTTCCTCCTTCTCCTCATGTTTTGTTATTCTCTGTTCTTCTTCTGTGTCTTCCTTGTCTTTCGTTTTCTTGAGTTTCACTTTCTACGTCTCTTCTTCCTTCTTCTTTTTCGCTTTCCTTCTCTTCCTCGCTTAATCGCCCTCTCATTTCCTTCTCTCTCTTTTCTTGTTCTTTCGCTTCTGTTTCTCTATTATCTTCATATTCTTTGTTGTCTTTTCGTTCATCTCTTCATCTTCATTTTCTTTCATCAATTCTTTGTATTTGATATCTTCCTCTTCACTTTCTTATTCCTTTTTTATCGTCAATTTCTCTCTCTTCTCTTCTTCATGTTCAGATCCATTGTCTATCTCGCCTTTTCCTGTGTCTTCTTTCGCTTCTTCCTCTCTCTGTTCGCTCTTTAGGATTTGCCTTTCGTCTTCACGTCCTTCCCCCGCATCCTCTTGTTTGCTTCACCTGGGCATTTGGTGATATTCTCGCCCCCTCGCGTCGGCTTCCTTCCTCTCTTGTGGACACAGCCTCTGCGTGTCTCCTTCCTTCTGGGGAACATCTTTCTCACGTCTCTGACTCTGCCACCACGCCTTCCGCGCCGCGGCCATCTTCCCCAGACCCTGCGTCAGAAAATTTCCTTCGCTTGCCCTCCGCAGCCCCTTCTGAGGCAGAAAGGGCTCACTCTCCGCGACGCCTTTCGCTCCCCCGCTTTCGAGCCTAACCATCTCGGCTTGCACATTGTAGGTCGCTGTGTCCCCTGCTTCCGCTTCCTCCACCACACCAGGCGCCAGCGCAGGCCTACACACGACCAGGAGGATAATGATGACAGCGGCTACAGTGCGGCGCTGGACCACTAGAAGGCGGGTCCGTGGTCCTCGGGGCAACGGTGGGGCGTTCTTTGGGGATCGAGTTAACTTCCTCAACGGGCGTGTCTGTTGATCATGGTACAGGACTCAGTGTCATATTTTAGAAACCCTAAAAGTGAGAAAATTAAATGAATTTATGCAAGTTAACTTGAAAAACTATATAGCAGCAATCGCAAAAGGACATACCTTTGGCACAGTCGAATCTTACATTCATGTAACGATTCCTGCCAACATGAACAAACACGTATTTGAAACTCTGAATTTTTTCATCGACGAATTCAAAAGGCATGTCGTCAGCCACTACACGGAGGACGTTGCTCTTCACGGACACGTTAAAGCGCGTCCAGCTGCTCAGAGGCAGATCGTGCGACAGAGGTCTTGGAGGTGGAGGCGACTGACGGCCGGTGAACCAGAGGGCGACGGCGTCGCCACCTCCCCTCGCCGGAAGGTCCGTAGCCTGTCGAGTTGTCGTTGGCGCTGAAGGCGAGGGAAAAGTCCTTCCAGTTTTCCGTGGGGGACTTGAGCTCTAAAAGGACAGGGCCGTCCAGAGCCTTGGCTTCGTGAAGCTGTCGATCGTAGGATCTCCGAGCTCGAAACGGGACATTCTGAAACAGAAGGTTGCTGTCAACTATGAATGTTAGAGAATTTACTAAAACTGAACAACGATTTTATTCAAAGGTGATAATTTGCCGAATTTTCCAAACTATTTCATGAAATCTGTCATCTAAACACATCATGATGCATTCATTAATCTATTATTTCGAATTCAGCATATTGACATATTTCATGATTAGGTTATGAAGTAAAAGTCTGCCCCTCGGCAAACACAAGGCTCAGGTGAGAAGAAAAAGATATTGCATAGGAGAGAGAGAGAGAGAGAGGAGAGAGAGAGAGAGAGAGAGAGAGAGAGAGAGAGAGAGAGAAGAGAGAGAGGAGAGAGAGAGAGAGAGAGAGAGGGAGAGAGAGAGAGAGAGAGAGAGAGAGTGAGTGAGTGATTGTTTATATAAATTGTATATATAATATATATATATTATATATATATATATATATACATAATATATATATATATATATATATATATATATATAATATATATACACAACACACACACACACACACACACCACACACACACACACACACACACAACACACACACAACACACACAACACACACACACAAACACACACACAAACACACAACACAAACACGCACACACACAAACACACACACACACACAACACACACACACACACACACAAACACACACACACACACACACACACACACACAACACCAACACACAACAACACACACACACACACACACACACACACACACA